TGGTTCCCAAAGAATCTAATTTGGAAGCAGAAGGCATGACCCCAGAAAACCCCACATGTTTTGCTTCCACATGTGACATCTCAGCATGAGACTTTCCTCCAGGGCTTTCCTGCCTTTCAGTGCGGAGCACCCACTGGTTTGGACCACTAAAGAACGCTGTGTTTCCTTCCCTTCTTCTCTCTGAGAAGTGCTGTCGAGGAAGAAACGCAGACAGATGTGACTGGATAAAGTAACTAAAACTGACAACTGACCCATGAACGATCAATCTTGCTGTCAGTGACAAGCCGTGTTCAAACACTCTTCCAGCCATGTGTGTGTCCTATACCAGTAAATCCTGACTAAATAAGAGCTACACACGTCACTTATATGAAAACAACCAGACCAAAGTGTGACTGCTTATGTCTTGAGATCTATAGTAGCCATAAAACTATTTGGACGTCTGAACTTTATAGCAATTGGCTTTTGAAAAGTTCACAGGTGTAGTTCATCACATTATGTGTTTTCCTAACTTTTTACTACTTTTTTCATCTTCAAACTAAACTTAGGACTTCAATCGTTAAAGTTTAAATCCTGTCTGGCTAGCATGCTTTCCACATTAGGTCAGTATTTTGTGACTGTTCAAATGCATTCGGCCACATGAGTGTTTACATTACGAAAGCAATCCGGTCTAATGCGTTTTCAAATGGAAGTGATCGAAAGTGGACAAGCTCAAGATATTTTTGACCCCCTTTACAACTATTTAGCATTGTCCCCTGGTAATCGGATTGATGAAAACGCTTCTTAATGCCAAGTGTCTAAAAAGGGCCTATTATGCTGATTTGGTTTCTTATGATTATCAATGTTGAAAACAGTTGCTGCTTAAAGGAGTAGTTCAGTTTTGAAAAAACTTTTGCTGATAATTTACTCACCCCCATGTCATCTAAGATTTCCATGCACTGTAAAAAAATATTTTCAAGATTTGTTATCACAACATTTTTTCTTTTGTCAAATCAACTTAAATAATTTATTTAGTTCAGATAACTTATTATTTTGAGTTTCTGATGATTAAATCAATCCCCTTCATTGTATTAACTCACTTTTTCCATTTCAATCAACTTAAAATTTTAAGGCAACCAGGTTACTTAATTTTTTAAGTTAAACCAACAATATTTTTTTTACAGTGTGTCTTTCTTTCTTCAGTCGAAAAGAAATTAAGGTTTTTGATGAAAACATTCCAGGATTTTTCTCCATATAATGGACTTCAATGGGAACCAAACGGTTCAAGGTGCATCACAGAACAGAGCAAGGCAAGCATTTGAGCTTAAAACTTAAACTTTGTTATTTATTTATTAAATGAGCGATCGTTTCGCTTGATAAGACCCTTATTCATCGTCTGGAATCGTTTAAAGCCCTTTGAACAGTTTGCAGATTGCACTGAAAGTGTCTTTTGGACCTTAAACCGTTTGGTTCCCATTGAAGTCCATTATATGGAGAAAATCCTGGAATGTTTTCATCAAAAACCTTAATTTCTTTTCCACTGAACAAAGAATGACATGGACATCTCCTTTAAAATTTGTGAAAACTGGGATACATAAAAAAATAAATTTTACACAAAATTAAGGTTTTTGATCAGAACGCTCAAAAGAACAGCATTTATTTTAAATATTGCTTTAATATATATAATTGTTCACTGCTTAAGAGTGCTTATAACGCAAACATCCGCTGAATCATGTCAAACCCACAAAGCAATAAACATATTGTCACTAGGACACTAAATCAAGAAGATCAAGGTGTTTCATCACAGACGTGACACAATCGCAACCTCAGGTTGGGGCGTTATTCATTCAAATCTGGTTGTAGTGTCAGTCGATATCTTTAACAAACATTCGAGACACGGCAACAGCAGAACTGTGCCAGTTTTAATTTTCTTTCAGTTGTTACTTTTTAACCCTTCTATCAAAGAGCTTTTCGTGTCAGCGGGGTGGTCACGGATGTGTTCACAGGCTGGAGCAACATGTCCTCTGTGAGATCTCTCACCAAGAGGCCCCTGTGAAAGGGGCCCTATTACCCCTTCCCACAGGTGAGTGAATATGCACTTCACATATCTCATTCTGATAGCTTTGACCCTTGAGGACCCCATCAGGCTTGAATCTAGTGCCCTACTGGTTCACAGTGTCCCTGTATATATTGCACATGTTTTAGAGATGAAAAATGCTGGCGAGAGGGCGGGGCAACCTGTCACTCACATGAGATCGACCAATAGCAACCACTCAATTCCCGATAGACAAAATCAAGTCCCGCCCTATGTTTTTTCTTGTTTTTACTTGGATATATATCACAATACATAGGGAAGAAGAGACTAATTCAACGACTGTTTCGTGACGACTTAACGAATAAACCTTCACAGGCTACATTCACTCAGTGAGTTTTTGGGAAATTAAAACATTCAGATGACACTCAGCTCATATCTCCATAGATGTAAGTTACCAAAACCACACATGATGGACAATAGTTGTCCAATCCGGTTCTGTTCACAGAGCAAGAGTTTTCCAAGAAAGCATTTGTGAGTCCTAAAAATTTACCATTTTTCACTCATGAAAGTAACTGAACTGTGTTGGAACGCAACCGAATTATGGCCTCAAATACAAGGTTGACAGCTGTATTTTGATGCTGTGTGAACGTGGCCTATGAGTATGTGTATTTAAAAATGAGTTTGACAATGTCTAGACAGAATTAACTTTACACTTTTCCAGTCCAGCTTCAGCATTTCCAGTCCATTTTATGACTGGGAGTTTGATTCAAAAAATATTTTTTACTTTAGGAGACCCATTTTGCTTGTCATTATACAGTAAATTATTATTTAAAGCTAAATGCGATAAAGAATAGCCTTTTTATAAAGCTTACTCCTTACTCAGTATCTCCTATTTCTGGTTGTGACTTTGAGAAGATGTCTTCATCAAGTCAGTGGGCATTCTGTGTTGATCTGCACATGAACTATATAGACAGACATCTGTGTCCAACAAACATCTAGCAGACGACTGTAATCAGAGGAGGAGAGTTAAACATTAACCAGAGTTATTATTATCAAACAAACCTAATTACCAATAACCCTGTTTAATGCACTTACATAACCTTCAGCTTTCAGTGTAAACCTCATGACTGCATCACCCTTATATGCCTTCATTTGAACTTTCAAAACTACATATTAAACTTAAAAATTGAAGCTTTGTTTTATTATAATAAAAAATGCACTGTATCTCACCATGTGACTGCTTTACAGGAGGACCTCTTCATAGATGACAACGTAATTGTGCAAATGTGTATTTCATCCCACATCTGGAAACAGTTATTTCTCCCAGAATTCCACGGTACATTAGAGCATTTGGTATTATTGTTACTGCAATCACGGGACATGATCCAGACAGATCTATGCGTTGCTTGGATTTCCACGGAAATTCAATATGAATTTGAAAACTCCCAAGTAAAAAAGCAGGGGAAAATGACACGAAGTTGAAGGAAATGCATTCAACACGTGGCTGTGTTGCTTTCAAACGTGTCCCACTAGTGTGAGAGATGCCAGATCGGGTGCTACTGCCCACTATAGAGCTCGGTCCAAGTGGCACCAACGTGCCATCAGGTCAAAGAGTAGTAGCCAATTCCCAGAAATGCAAGTCATCATCCTGTACTTCACAAAAACACTTCAAACGTTTCAGCAGAGAATACAAAAATACACTGGAGAGAATTAGATTTAATTAGCACAAATCTTTTAAATGTCAAAAGATCCCTAATAATATATGCTATCGCACCTGAATGCACATTTCCAAGTTCGGATAGGATTTGGCATCCGATGACCCCCATTGTCGTTTTTATAATCAGCGCATTTTCTGGCAATCTCATACCCTGCCTGCAAGTGCTGTGTAATCCAGAGGAAATGGGATCCCAAGTTCACTGTCATGACCGTGGATTAGTGTGGAGAACCGCCGATCCACGCTTCTCAGACAGATGGTGTAAGTGACCGGACAGAGACCTTTGTTTCATAACTAATTTGTCTTCGCTGCTCAGGCCATGGGCAAGTGTTATTAAACATAATAATTTAATGTTGTTATAAACTTAACAAGTCTGCAGATATGACATTTGGGCATTTACTGGGACATGCTTGGCAGATGGATTTAAGGTCCAATGACAAACAAATCCTGCAGGAATTTGTCCCTAGGAAGCGGAATTTAATATATGCCACTAATAATAGAAGCATGTCGGAAAGGTCATTGAATAAAACCTTAAAGGGAAAGTTCACCATAAAAAGAAAATTGTGAAAAAAATGCTAAATTGTTCAAATGTTTGGGTCATACTTTTATTCAGTAAGCAGGACGCATTAAATTGTCAAAAGTAACAACGAAGACATGTCTATTTCAAATAAATACTGTTCTTTTGAACCTTTTTACTCGTCAAAGATCCCTAAAAACACTTTATCAGTTTACACAAAAATATTAAGCAGCACAACCTGTTTTCAACACTGATAATAATAAGAAATGTTTCTTGAGCAGCAAATCAGAATGATTTCTGAAGGATCATGATGCAGTAAATTCAGCTTTGGCCACAGGAATAAATTAAATTTTATAATATATTTAAGTAGAAAACAGTTTGAAATTGACTTGACAAGACAGACACAGTTTCCACCCAGCCAAGTGTTGTAATTCTCTCCCTGGGAAGCTTTGGTTGTCATAGGTTTGTGACAATCCTCCTGAGCCCAGTAATAGTTTGGTGAGTGCATGTTTTGTTGATCTTCAGGTACATTAAAAGTTGAGTCTGTCTTTGCAGTCCATCACTAATTGATATTTGATGGATTCTTTGAGTGATGCTCAGCTTCAGAAGAGAGAGAACTACATGATCACCTTCCTCTAAATACACAGAACATTCTGCACCCCGACGTGAGAAGGACAGAGATCAGGAGAAAGAAAATCAGGAATGTCATGTCGCAGACCCCAAAGAAATACCAATGGCTTCTAGACGTCTCAGCATACCTGTGGTCGATCTGTACGTCCTCTTGCTGCTGACATGGCGAGTCCCGGATGACCGTCGTTGATGTGCGTCGTGCGGAGGAATCGTAGTCGAGATACGCTCGGAGATCCTTAGAAAGGGGAAAGTGCACAAGTTGGCAAAAGCTTTTGAAGAAATTCATGGCACACAGCAAGGACAGCCGTCCAGACAAACAAGTGTGTTATTCACTTCTTTCCTTTTTTTTAAAGTCCAGCGCCACTCCAACCCACTGGGTTTACAACAAAACTGAGCACTCCTTTGTAAACAGTAAACCAGTCAAATATATCCAGTGTCATCACAGTCTGCGGAGTGGAGAAAGACGAGATTTTTCAGTTTCTTGTTCAAGTGCCCAGTCAGTATTATTAGACTCAAATTCCCCCAATCCAGTCAAAGGCTACATTCAGAGCTCATTCACACAAACTGCAACATTTTGATATTTTTATAAATGTGTGGCCACATTTCACTGATGAGTCTAAAATTTGAGTTCAAATATACTTTCTCAAGTTTAACACACAGAGAATATTATTTATACTGTAGTTCAATTTTGCTAAAAAGTGTAAACACTGCTATTTCAATATCACTATATTTGTTTGAGTGTCAACTGGCTCATCCAATGGCAGGAGTTTGGACTAGAATAATACTTGTTTGCCTGGACAATGAAATAACAGTTTTTACAGGAAATATGTTGGAAAGAGTTGTCTTTTTAGTTCAGTTTGAGTTCTGGGTATAGTTTAACCAAAAACTTGGTAAAGTTCGGTCATTATTTTCTTACTATAACTTTTGTTTCATACAATCACAATGAAAGTCTGAAAAAAACGTCATAAATGTATTAAAAAATATTACAATAAAAAACTTTATGCTATGTGGTTATATACTGTAAGTCCAGAATAACTGAGTAAGTGAGTGTTGATCAATCTAATTTCTAAATTTATTGAAAAGATTATATTCAAAAGAATGATTTGTTTGTGAATTGGACATTGGACCAGTTAAAGGAGCCTGTTAAAACTGTCCAGTTAAAACTGTCTTTTGGACCTTGAACCGTTTGTTTCCCACACTGAAAAATCCTGGAATGTTTTTATCAAAAACCTTAATTTCTTTTCGACTGAAGAAAGAACGACGAGGATATCTTGGATGACATGGGGGTGAGTAAATTATCAGCAAAAGTTTTTTTTTTAAAGTGAACTACTCCTTTAAACATTTATTGGACCAGTCTAATTTCTGAATAAATCATTAAGAATGTTTTTCCAATTCAATGAAAAATGAAATTTCTCTTATGGCTTTTCCGAAATCTATTATGGTTTCACAATGCAGCAGATTTTTAGGTGTAACCACATATTGTGTGATTAAAACTAACACAATATTACACATATTGCATTTCAAGCCATCACACACAAGCCAGCGAGCCACAGCAGCGTGACACACATTATTCAGAGTCAACTGTTACGAGACACTTTCTTCTTACAATGTGGCCTTGGGATGCTCCCACATATTAGATAACAGCGAGCATTTGGATAAAGCGTGTTCGGTATTAAACCATGAAATAGATATTTTCATCCAAGACGACAGTGACCCGCTTGTTTTCTTGTTAGCAATTATCCGAGCGAGGCACATAACGTCCCATTATGCGGTCACAATAGTGATTTGACTAGTGAAGTCACAAGGGAGAATAATAGCTGTAATTATAGACACAGAGAGGATCAGCTAAAGGCATCAAATGAAGCAGATTTTTTCGAAAAGGTAAAGAGCTGAAGCGCAGGCTCCTTTAAGGGTGCGGGTTAGTTGACAGAAGGTCCTTTTAACTGCAGTGTCCCGATGCAGGTATGTTAAACATGCCATGTTTGCTGAGGGCTCTGGGCCCCACTAATAAAAAGCCAAGAGCGAGGAGGAGCCGGAGAGAGAGAGATGACTCATGAGAAGGTGATAGATGGATGCACTGCAAAAATGCTTTTCAGTCTTTTTTTGCTCGAGTTTTTAGATATTTGGACTGAAAACAAGACAAAAATCATACGAAAAGCATTTGCAAACTGTGAAGAACTAAACAGCAGCCTGTTTGCTCTCTTCAAGCGTTCCCACAGTGACAGTTCGTACTGGTCTCTCACTCTCCTGAAACACACAATGAGACATTAGCAGCTACAGTCACTGACATAGTGCATGGGCTGAGTGCCATTGCAGCTGCAATAGTGGTGGACACGTGGCCTTTGTGGTCCTTTGTGCTCCGCTAGTGCCCAACACATGTAACCTCAAGCACTGAGCCAGAGCAGATGACCACTTTGAGGCCTAAAATAGACCGAATTAAAATTAACTTCTGGTCCAAGTGGCCAATGCAGTGTGTGAGCTAATGTGTTATACATTATACAGTCAGTAAAAAGTTTGTGAAAGAAGTCTCTGTGCTCACTGCTCACCAAGGCTGCGTTTATTTGTTCAGAAATACAGCAATATTATTAAAACTTAAAATGACTGTTTTATATTGTAATATATTTTACAATATATTATATCAATTCGATCGAATTGTAAAATGTAATGTATTCCTGTGATCCAAGCTGAATTTTCAGCAGCTCACCAAGGCTGCGTTTATTTGTTCAAAAATACAGCAATATTATAAAAACTTAAAATTTTTATATATTTTACAATATATTAATATCAATTCTATCAAATTGTAAAATGTCATTTATTCCTGTGATCCAAGCTATTACTCCAGTATTCAGTGTCACTCACATGTTCCTGATTTGGGGTTCAAAAACATTATTATCAATGTTAAAAAAAACAGTTGCTGCCTAATATTTTTGTGGAAACCATGATATTAGGATTCTTTGATGAATGTTCAAAAGAACAGCAGAAATCTTTATATATATATAAAAAAGTACATTAAAAACGTAATTTACTCTGTAAGTGTACACCAAAAAAAACTTGAAAAGCTTCAGCAGAGACAAAACTCATCTGAGAAGTATTGATGAAGACTTAACAACCAAATACAGGTCATTTCCCTTCAGTTAATTAACCAGATAGCTTTCAGTGAGTTTGTTTTCCTATACAGTAAAGACAAGGATCCTCCCATCCCCTGAACTCTGTACATTGTGTACCATCCGCTCTGTCCCATCAAACAGGACTTGCTTTAACAGTAGGAACAAAAACACAGATTTCTATCAAACTATCTGTACAGTATTATTAAGATTACCGACTGAAAGAAAAAATCTTAATAACATGTATAGCTCAGCTAAAAAGAGATTTTTTGCATGCATGATCTGAAATATTTCCTGGTAAACGAACTGAAATTTGAATATAGTGGGCCTGTATTTTCTGATTTATGTCACCTGATTTTGCATACAAGTGCTGAAAGATTAACACATGACATCCAGAGGCTCTTTACAATGGAATTTGTTACTTTCCAGCAGGCATTTGACATGGTGGCCCGCTCACACTTTAGATTAGCTGGTGCATTGTTTCAATCTCAGAGTAAATATTTGCCTTCCGGAGTGTTGCGCTAATCTTAAAGACCAGTTATGCACAGTGAGGAGACCCTCCGTAATGTTGAAAAATACACAAATGATAGTTTTTATAATGAATTATCAAATGCAGAGTACGGTGGGTGCTAAGAAAGTCCTGTTTTTCTCACTCCCTCATTACCACCATCAAGTGGATAAACTGATGTACTGAAGCTATACATGTGTTCTCCTTATTCTCCTAAATAATCAGTTTAGAGAAATCTTAAAGTCACCTAAATCTACAAAGAAAGATAATGCACATTTGACACATTCTGTTTGCACTAAACAATTAGTCAAATAATGAAAGGGTTGTTAATGCCATCTTCTTTTGTCATTGCAGCAGTGTTAAATTTCCACATGCTTTCAGTTGACCCGTATGTCAACAGAACTCAATCACGGCCTTCGTTTGGGCAGGGGAACAAAGTGTTCCCATCTCACTCAATGCATCCACAACAAACAGCCTCTCAGGCAGGCAAGACGCATACTGTGATCTCGACACCTTACTGTCTTACTTGGTTGTGCGCATCCTGCACATGCTTGTGTTGCCTCGCTGGACCCCACAGGTGGTTTTATGTAGCAGGAGGGCCCCCATAGAGAAGCTGTGATGTTAGCAAAGATCCTACTCGTGTGTGCCATCTGGAATGCAAACAAGAAAAACAAATGTTGAGGATAAGGGCTTCACATAAAGAGAAATCAGTGTCTGGCCACAGAAAAAGAGACTCACATGTATAGAGAGGACAAAAGAAATATTTGAGCATGGTAATGTCTTTTGTGTTTTAATTGACACTTTCCGTGCATTTATGTGAATCAGTTACTTTCTACATAATTTGTATTAGGCTTTTCCTACAGTAGTATTATTTTATTTATAAAACTGAAGGTGCTATATTTTGCAAAATATAAAAAATATAACACAAACTGAGATGCTTAGTATGTACCTGCAATATGCACAATTTAATTGTAGCAATATGAACACAGAAATCTTGCTTGTCATACCTGTATATGCTTCCTTATTTTTCCTTTTTAATAAAACACCTATATAGTAAAAATACTATTTTGGTCTGTGCTGCAGTACTATCTTTGACGTTTAGGCCAGGATTAGTCTTTAGTTCATTTAAGTAGCTTTTATGCCTTAGAAAAAAAACAAACAAAAAAAAACATTACTAGTGTGCATCTTGAGACAAAATGGCACTGACATATTGGGCCTGGTTTGTGAAACCGGGGGTTAATGTTGCTTCATGATTAATATAATTTTCTGATATATTTTAAAATATATTATTATTACAGGCCATCATCTGTAATAAATTACATTACATTGGAAAATATTGTATTCTCTCTTTCCCCCGGTTTCACAGCCTAGTCCCAGTCTAAAATGCATGTTTGAGCTGTTTTAACTGAAAGCAACTCGCACTGAAATATCTTAAAATATGTTTGGTCTCAAGATGCACACTAATGTTTTTTCTTTTCTTTCCTAAGGCACGTTTATAAAAGCTACTTAATTGAACTAAGACATAATCCTGGTTTAATCTAAGCCCTGTCTGTGAAACCAGGCCTTTGTTTATAGAATATAAAAGCAATTTTTTAATGGCCAGATCAATGCACACAAATCCACCTTTAATTAACAGCATGACAGAAGAGCCAGATTTTCATGCCAGGGCAAACAATATATAGCTATTATTGGCATCTGAGCTGTGGTGGTACAATGTGAAGCAAGCTCTTAATAAGCACTTAGATAAGAGGGTGTGCAACTGACATGCATCACAGAGCACCGCCTATCCAAAAACACAGATCAGGATGTCCTGACATTGAGAATTTTGGGACAAATAAGAATCAGCCTGGCAAACAGGGGTTTACTTGCATTCATTTTTACCTGCTGCTATAGTGAGGAAGGGAATCAATTTTGCATTGTAATGCTATTTCCCATATACTTCTAAATAAACTCGGAGAGGAAACAGCGACCTCTTCAGGCCTTTCTAACACACTGCCGGCTGGTGGCGTCTCTCTGCTGTCAGTATTCAGTGGGAGGGTAAGTTAGACAGCAGCAGCCTCGGAGCTAAAACCAACGTGACAGACTGGAGTCCTAATAACACCACCCGAACCAAGAGCAGCAGCTACAGAAACCTTAATACTGTATATGGAGACTACCAGTTGTCATTTGTCGACTGCTGCATAAGGAGAGCGATTCAACCGGCTCCACAGCAGCGAACGCAAACCGCAGTGGATGTTGTTGCATTGTTCACGTGAAAGGAAGAAAATCGTTGGTTTGCAGCGGATCCGCGTGCAGTCGACCGGAACCGGACTCTGTTTGTGATTTGTCATGATGTTTTATCACGGGATACATCGTTACGCTGGATACCGATTTCATTAGACTCATCATCATCGCATCGCGTTGGGTTCAACAGCCCCGTGTTGAACTTGGCCTGTCGAGCAAACAGTACGATGAACGCGTAGCTGTGCTAAATCTATGGAATTTATATTTTCATGACCATTCGGTTTTATAGCCTGGATTTGTTTTGTCTCTATTATAATTATTGGGCTATTGCCGCTCTTAATTTATTCGCTCGGCCAACTGCAGCTATCGCTTTGTCTACATCAGAGGGGAATGGATATGACGATACGAAAGGTAATCGCTGGCCAGTCAGCCTCCTATTTTTCATTGCAGCAGAAATGTTATGTACCTCGTTATAAGCATTGTGAACTGACAAGTATTCGGTATTAAATACGTACTGTCTGTATATTATATAGACTGTTATGTTGTCGTATTTTGTGCTAGTTTATTTCTACGCGCTTCCTGTTCAATAAACGCTATTAACGCGCGCGGCATTATTTTAAGAGCGAGCTCGAGACCTGGAGAACCAACGGTGGCCGTTATATGACAACTTTTGAAAAGCCGTAACTTACCTTAAATTCTCGCTGACAACTTTAAATAATTTACTTGCTCCACAAATGCTAAATATGCCAGAATTGTTTTGAGTTTTGTGCTTGTCTTTGCTGGAGAATTATAAAAAATCCCCCCAAATCTCAGTTGGCCACCCACCGTAACCAGGGCGACCCGCCTCGAGACCCCCGCGTGCGCAGTAGACGTGTTAGATCTACCGTCACATGGTTTTGTTTTGTTGATATTTTTTTTGAGGCACAGCATTTTATTTTATCATACTTGTAAGATTGAAACTAAAACATGTCTGACTCAATATCGAGAATAACCCCAGGGGAATCGTTGTAGAGAGCCGAGTAACGTTAACTGTAGCAAAAGGCTTCTGAGAAACACCAAGTACGATAAAATAATCTGGGTCGAATAGTAGTTTTTGCGTTTGCACTGGTAACGTTAGCTGCTTCAAACGTTATACTTAAGATTGAGTAAAAAGTGTCTTAAGTTGTAACATAGGATAATAGTAAACCTCTGATTTACGTGTCAGTCTTCAATAATTAATCATATTAAAATGCTTATTCTGTTGGATAGCTTGTAATGTTTTTAAAACTTGTTTTTGTAATGTTAATCAATATATTCTTTGTATGTCTCTCACAGTAAATCTGGACCTGGTTTTTGGTTTCGAAGCCAGGTTTCCTGCACTCTAAAGGTCTGAAGAACATCAAGGCTCTTGCCCTTTTCCCTCTTGTGGTCCCTTATGCCCAATGACGGCTGTCTCCGGGTCACTGCAGGATGGATGAAGTGGATTTGACAGTTTTTGTCTGTCACCATCAGTGCTTGCCTCTCAGTGACTGTGTCTTGTTCTTTTACGTTTATAAAAGAACACCTCCTCTCTTGGGCTCTGGCCCTTTACACTGTAAGAGTAACTGTTAGTAAGGAATACCTCACGGAGGGGGCCTTCCTGCAAACTCTCTGGTTCACATGAGCTGTTTTTCATAGGCTTTTTGTGCACAGTCAAAACAGGAAGAGGACATTTTTGCAAAAGTCAAAGTTTACAAGTTTTTTCATAATAATTTATTTATACATTTAAGTTTGTTTGTTTTTTTCCTGGAGAGATGTCGTCAGAAAATCCTAACAAGGTGGTGACCTTCTTGGCACCTCCACCTCCAAAGAATGTGAATGGCTCCGGTTCGGACTCACTGGTGGCTGAGAAGCTAGACACAGAGGTCAGGAAGCGACGCCACACCATGGATAAAGATCTGAAGACGGCTGAGCACAGATTTTTTAGGCGTAGCGTCATCTGTGACTCCAATGCCACAGCCCTCGACTTGCCCAGCAAAGCCTGCACCTCGCATCCAGACTGCGAGCAGTTTGTCGTTCCTGTGGTGCTTAGTTTGGCCCCTGATGTAACTATTGACACGCAATCGGGTGTTTCGGGTATAGCAGTGGATGAACATGCAGAGGATGGAAGAGGCGCTGGGGTTGATCGGATTGTAGAGGTACAGAGCCAATCTGTGCTGGATGTGGATGTGGGTGCAAGGCAGGCTGAGGCCCTTGGGACGGCCGAGACGGTGCCCAGCGACGTGGGCGACAAGGAGCAGGAGATCGGAGTAACAGAGAAACGTGAGGAGGAAGAGAGAGGTGTGGCGAAGGCCCGTGCTGAAGCTGAGCAGAGGGAGGCTGAGAAAAAGGTTCAGGATGACATAGAAGAAGTGGAGACCAAAGCTGTGGGCACCTCACCCGATGGCCGTTTCCTCAAATTTGATATCGAGATTGGACGTGGCTCATTCAAAACCGTCTACAAGGGCTTGGACACGGAGACAACGGTGGAGGTAGCGTGGTGTGAACTTCAGGTAAGAAACTAACTTCCGTGGTATTCATGTTCAGCCTTTATTAGTTGTAGATGCTCGTGTTGTATAATGTGAACATTATTATTCTTTTTTTGTGGCTGACCAAAGGCTTTAAAAGTGCCTTGCGAAACACAGAAAGATCTATTTAAAAAACGAGTGCCTAACTTACAACAGGAAATCATGTTGGTGCAACTTGTTTGTGCACTTTTGTGGTCATGGTCCTTATGGTGCCCCTACAGGATGTGGGTGAAGAAGATCTTTGGTAAAGTTGCAGATTTGCCCCAAACATACTGTATATGATGCGTTGTCTCGTGCTAGTGTTCTTATTACTCAAATGTCTGTTCTGTTGTTAATCATAAAATGCTGTTGTGTTATAACCGACTGCTTCTATAGTCCTATAGTCCCTTGCGGCAATGCTGAGTATGCAAAGCATGCTTGTGTTGCATAATTATGGATTCCTTTCATGATAAAGTCAAGCTTGCAAATCTAGAAGTGTTTGCATTCACTTGAATGTAGATGTAATTCTAGCTTGATTTCATATTACTTATTGTTGCATTCCAAAATGTGTCATACGGCAAATTTATTGCATCTACATGTTGCATTCTCAGCACTGCCACCAGGGGCACTGTAGTATTTGCGCAGTGAACCACTCAATATCCACATACTAGAAGTTTTAAGAGCTGCATTTTCCTCAATAAAAACAAGTGTTATAATTAAGGATGACCCGATCAAATTTTATGGGTTTTTTTTGTGCCCCCGATCCAATCCGAGTCATTGAATATTGAGAACCTGCCAATACCGAGGCCCAATCCTAGACTTGGTGCATGCTTCAAGTATGTTAAAGTTATTAAAATACAGGGATGTGCAGAGTTTCTTTGGGGCTCAAATGGAAAAAAAGTGAGATCTATCACAGGGTAATTCCAATATAATAATTAATACAGTAATATGAGACTACAGGAATATGGAATACTGATAAAAAACATATTTTATACGTACAATAAGCAGAATAATTGCAACAAAAAAGAAAAAAGTGGGATAAGGTTAGAAAGCATGCAGCTCAGTCTGTCAGAACCCATAGCAACGATGTCTCAGATAGTCTGATAGCCGATAAAATAAACAGTAAATGACTTTCCAGAGTTGAGTTGCATTAATCCAGGGTTGCCTTTTTTAATAACACCTAGAAATCTAACAAATTGGGTCTTTGAAACCCAATCAAGTTGAATCTCAATACATATAGGCTTGTATGTTTCCTCTGAATATCACAAGACCCTCTCTGTTCATCCTGGAGAAAGTATAACTGCACACAGATAAAGATGGATTGTTGGTGAAGATCCTTCTGTACAAACTGAACAGTTATACACACCAGTCAGACTTTAGTAATTCCTCCTAAGCGCTCATAGATTTAAACCGTTACATAAACATGTCAAAGAAGTATACAGATGAAAGTGTGCAAAATATGCTGTGTGGTGGGGTGTAAGACTGTGGAATGTAAGAGCGGATGGTGCCAGTGACATCATGTCCACGCTGCCGGGATGAGGGGATTTATACTGATGTGCGTTGGTGAAAGCCAAGTAGCATTATGAGGTGTGTGGACACTTGCTAAAACGGGGGATGTGCAGTGCGTTTATAGATGGATTAAGGCCTTTAGAGTACCTATAAGTAATTTAGGGGTCAGAGGGCTTGCAGGAGCAGAGGTCTGGCCACTGGAAACTCTCAGATTGCTTTAACAAAGGGAGAGCGAGCAAGGAAAAGAGGGGGTGAGCGATGCAAGGACATCAGGGAGGGTTGCTTTGTGTTTGCCTGACGTTCTCTCTCTCTTTTGGGATCTCTCCCTAGTTTTCAGGACGCTTTTGTAGTTTTAAAGTATTTGAAGTCATACTGGACATCAGTAAAAGAGACCTTTGGATGTAGAAGAGGAAAGATGATTATCTCTGCTCGTCAGCTTTGTTAATGGGCCATCTAAACTGCTTTTCTCCCCAGAGCTGATTCATTTGCAGAGCTTTTATTTTACTCCCATTTGAGATCACTTGGGAACGAGTTTCTTTCCATGGATTGACTCAGATGTTTCCTCCTATGTGTCTGAATGTTCTCTTGTTCTTCCATTAAGCAAGTAACAATTTAGTTACACTATCAGTTGGTTGAATAGTTGCTTTGGTTAGCCAGCATGCATCAGTAAATTTTACTCCCTATTATTCTGAATACTTTTATTGGATTAAAAATTGGATGATGTGTTTCTCTTGTTCTCATTGCCTCGGTATGTGTTGAATCATAGATGAGCTATGGGATGACAAAGGCTGACATCCCCCCAATTCATTCTTCATGTTTTCAGGGAGATCCAAGCGAGGGCTCTTTTAATGGGAGCAGAGGCGTCCCTTAACTCTTTTGTTTTTCTATTCAGCTGAATTATAATAGTAAAGACATGAAAGGGCGAGCAAGAGCTAAATTTGCCGTGTCTTTTTCACTCCATCCTGTTTAACTCTTTGCCAAATATTTTCCCAAAATTTCACATGTTAACAGAGTGGAACAAAACTGGGTGCAGTCAAAGCATTTTAGATGTGATGTTAATCTAAACTTAAGAAGCACCACCACATAATATTACTCATACTTGGTTAACACACCCTCTGACTCTAAGTATTAAACATTGTATAAATGTCATGCAGAATTTGTGCTACAAACATTGATACCTCAAATTGTATGCCTGTTGAAGAAAGGTGTGGTGCTATTGAAGTGATTAGGCTTATGGATTTCACTCGGCAGATGATAAAACTAAATAAGAATCGTGTACTAGACTTTTTGACCCAACAACTCATGGCAAGTACCACTCACAATCTTGTTCACTCTCTCATCTTCACTCTAGCAATTGTGTGTGTGGTTCTAATGTGATTTTAGTCACCTAATGGTGTGTAAGCTGGTTTGCATGCACTTCTTCACACATTACACACTCTTTTCTTCATGATCTTTTCCAGCAGATATGAGAAATGGAAACCACTTGCAATTAGTTTTATAAAACCTATGTGCGCGCATACTTGCACAGGCTCCTGTGTCCATATGCTGACTCCCTTCATTAATGTAGACTCTGAACTATATGCAAGTTGCTGACCCTAAACTATTTAAAACCCTACGGCTGTCGTGCCGTCAGCAGCCTTATCAGCATATGTTAACTGTGAGATGTCACAGTGCTGGAATTTGCGGGAGGTGCCTCAACGCCGAACCGGTTTAATAGAGACATGCCCCAGAGATAGTGTCGTCATCTGTGAATAATGCAGAGGATGTGAGGGGAACAGTTGAGGAAGAAATCCAATCCCATGGATCCCAGCCATACCCGTTTCCCTTTTCATTGTTGAAATCCATTTTTTTTCCAAAGGAGTAAGAAAGACAAAGACAGGAGCTGCGCTTCCTTCATTTGCAAGCGCTGATCTCCTTCCTCATTTACAGTACTGGCCAGAAGTGTGCTATCCATTGTGTGTCTTACATGGGCTGGAAGGGGGAAAAAGATGTCATCATGAATGGAAATATACTGAGGTCTTTGCCATTGTGAGATGCTATCTGATTGGCATTAGGTTTCACTTGTGTTGTGTTTTATCTCCACTTATTGTGAATCTGACATCTGATTTTTTTTATCCTCGACAGTTGCACAATGACACAAAAGTGTATGCAAAGCAGAAAATGTGTGCATAACACATAGTCAGATCTTGTCTTTAAAAGATTAATTTGTCTTTCTTGCTTTCCCCTCAGTGCGGAGGCTGACTTGAGTCGTGGTTTCACTTCTCACTAGATTCATGATAAATCTACTTCCCCCAACTGAGTCTCTGTCAGTTCCCCTCAATAACTCCAGTTCCTCCAACTTGACATTGGGTCCTTTTTTTTGTTTGTTTTTTACGCTTATAAGAAGTTTCTCGCTCCAGATAGTGCTTTCTTTACATTGTTGAGTGAATAATGATTATATTAAAGGGATAGTTCACCCACAAATTGTAATTGTCATCACTTACTTCAAGTTTTTCCAAACCTGTATGAGTTTCCTTCTTCTGTTGAACATAAAGTATATGTTACACAAAGAATGTTGACAACCAGTCAATTGACTGTGTAACCCTCAACTTCCGTAGTATTTTTTATTTTCCTACTATGGAAATTAGGCTAATGGCTACCGTAAACGTTTTGGTTACCAACATTCTTTAAAATTTCTTCTTTTGTGTTCAACGGAAGAAAGAAACTCATACTGTTTTGGGTCAAAAAGTGGATATTTTTGGGTGAACAATCCCTTTAACATCAGTGATGTCTTCAGCGACATCAGTACCATGACATTTTTGAATGGCCTGTTTTTGCTACTTTGTCAAAAAATTCCTATTGACATTAGTAGTAGTGCCGCCGATATTCGTATGCATTCGAACGTGACGTGAAATATCCGGGTCTGGACTGTTTTTTATGGTGGTGTCACGTGTAGCGCATCTTTTACAGTCTATGATTAGACCGTTTGTTTTTTATTTTATTGTTTGGCGTCTCATCCAGTAGTGAGCGCTCTAAACGTATTGTAGCGTAGGCCCATGACCAAATCAAGCGAATATAGCCAATAGCCACCCTGTTTTGAAAATGGTAGATAACGCAAAGAACAAAAAATTCGTACAGAGATATTTGATTACATTGCTTGATATTTGATATCCGTTCGAATTCGCATTAGCATTTGCTTACATGGTACTTTGAACTCTTTAAAGCACAGGTCCACTGAAAATACTTCACAGGTATCATAAAGCACGTTGTACTGTTTTCAGGAGAATGTGCAAGTTCATACAGCTGCTCGTCCATCTACAGAGTTTTTTTGCCTGCCGAGGCTTGTTGGAACACACTCCTGCGACATTGTGCTCATCTCCTCTTTGAGATCCTGATGTGATTCAAGTGTCAAGACTGTAGGTTATGAGGAAAATCAAGTTTCATCTCTTTCAGTCTTTCTTTTTTTATCATTGCTTCTCTGTGTCTATGGTTTTTTTAGGTAGCAAAAGTGTGTTAAA